ACTGAGATGCTCTGTTGGCAAGAGTGGCAGCAGCCATGGAACAGCTGTGTGTCTGTGAGAGAGTGTGTGCCCCGTTGTGCAGTCAGCAGATGAGATAATCAACATGAGACATATACCTTGTTGACCGCAAACCTTTCCTTATGTTCTCAGGATGAAGTCTTGTGGGAAGTCATAAGCATTGTATAAAATGTGAAAAATAACCATTTGATGACAACACAAGCATTTTAAGAGGATTTTTCAGTAGTCAGATAAGAAGGCACAACAGTGTAGGAAGGTGTGGACACAGACTGGCATGCTGGGTTGGCACATATCCCAACAAGCATGTTTCTCAGTTCTGATACAAGACGACTCAAAATAGCCTCTGTTGCTGTACAGTAACTGCACTTCCCTAAGCATGCCACACAAAAACAAAAGCAGTCATTATAACCAGGCCTACATGAATTTAGGATTACTATTAATGTGGTCTATTACATACAGTGGTAGAGGTCTGTAAGGCCCATCAAAAGCTGTTTTTTAGGCAGAAGAGTGTAGTGCAAACAACAGATGGATGAAAAATTCAGTGTGAAAGTTAAAGTGACATTAGAGCTGTATCTGCCAAGATTTTAGAGATCTTCTTTCTTGCTGGTCTCATTGGTGTCTTCTCACATATAATCAGAATTCATTCAATGAAGATTTATCCAGAAATTTAAAGTTAATCTATCAAATGACAATGTGACAGAGGTCAGTTTCCCTCTGATTTATGGAACTTAATGGTGAGTTGTAGCTCATTGTGTAGCTGTCCAGCTTGTAGCTTTCCTGTTTTGGCTTTTATAGCATTGCTCTCAGCTGCAGGAGGCTTCTGTTTTTTAGTGAAACGCTCCAAAAAGCCACAGACATACAGAGTTGGTGACCAGCTGGGGAATATAATGGAATAGAGTAAAATATTTCTCTCAGGAGTAGGTTGAGACATAAACAACACTACAAGAAAGTAAATACTGGCTTATGAACATTCTCCAGGTGACCAAGTGCTCCAAATCTAAACAACCATACTGTACAGGTTGTTTGTCCCCGTCCCCTGATATGACCCACAGGAGCATTTTCTGAACTAGCACCCCTGTGGGGGCAGTAGATATGCCACAGATAAACACTGTTGGAAAAAACAAATAACTGATGCTTTTATGACAGAAGAATGATAATTTTCCTCAGTAGCCGGTTGTGGATGCTGGATGTGTAAATAAGAAAACTTATCAATTTAAATTAGTGTTGTGTTTACAACTTGTTTCAGTTTTTTAATGATCGTCATGCATACATTATATTTTATTAGATGCTTAATCATTTAATGGAGTAAATGTTAAAAATAAATGGTACAAAAAATATCATTACAGTGTGCAGAGTTCAAAGTAACACTTAAAGCGTACTTGTATTATATGACCATATAACTGATGCTCCTCCACTCCAGTATAGGAGGAGAGAAGGACACAAGGCTATGCCACCGGCATGCCAGCAGTGGGGTAATATTTAATTTTTCCATGCCCAGCTTTTGACTCCCAGCTTTATCACCAACTCTGTCACTGTGACAGTTTAGTCACATCGGGTCATCACAGTCAGGCAGAGCAACTCAGCTGGAGAACAGGAGATGGTCAATCAGATAACATTTCTGGGCTCAATATTTCACAGTCAGCTCTCTGAGAGGAGAGCAGTCACATGTAGACAAAGTCCTCACTGGCTAGCTGAGTGGAGAGGAGATACTGATGAATCCTGACAATGCCTGATGAGCTCACTGCTGGGAAGATGATCTCATCACCTTTCATGTGACTGTAATTAACCGGCTTTTGGAACTTGGAAAAAAAAAAGCTCCTTGGTTGTGGTCTTTGGAACATCATTTAAAAGTGTGATCTCCTGAGGCTAGAGAAAAGGAGAAACTATGTTAAGACTTCACTGAAACTAGGTCTGACTGTTCAACACTGTGACTCTTTGGTGCTGTGAGGCTGAGTGAGAAATAAACTCTTTGATATTGAATGTGGCCAACTTAAATTTTCTGATTGGCCCAAGTCAAATCATCAAGTTTGTAGTCCAGCTGTCAAATTGTCAGTTTTTTGTCTATTGCCTCTGCACCATTGCCCACAGAACAGGACAGAAATAAAAATATAGACTGCATATCTACAACTACATATCTCAAACGCTTTCACATTCTAAGCCACTTAGAGAATTCATGAGGTGATACTTGCCAGTCATTTAAACAAGATACTAATGATCCTACTTGTGTCAAGGTGCAACCTTCAGGTAGGGAGTGATGTGATTTTAGAGAGAGCACCAGCTTCCTCTGTAAGTGTCCTGCCATGGACACCATGCTCCATGATTTACATACGGTAGACATGAACAGAGATATTAACCAGCTTCAGTGATTCTTTTAAGCCTTAGTTGTTATTCTTGGGTTTCCACTGAACATTCTGCTTGGCGCCTTTGGAGTCAACTTAGCTCGTCGTTCACTACTTGTGAGAGGGGAAACTAAACAGTACTAATTGTCTAACTGCGGACTGATGAATACTGTAAATTGGTTGGTTTAAAACTGAGGTGAGATTCGGGATTAGTGAGGTTTTCATGTGACGTGTTCATTTACCAGAAGGAACTTTGCAGTCTGCGCTTGTGATGCAGTAACTGTACTGACTGTGCGGTTAATGCTGCTGTCACTACATACTGTACTTAAATAATCAGCAGTTGCCAGTGTCAAACCTACAGCTTACTCTTTTAGCACAGCTTGAACCTGACAATTGAAGCTGATTGAACCCCAGCTGAACCTTGATCAGTCATCTCTCTGGTGATTGAAATGAGCTGCCAGTGATCAAGGACAATTCATCTGGTAGAGAAAAGAAAGAGAGAGAAAAACACAAGCTGGTAAAAAGTAGCTGGAAATGTAGATTTTGAAACACTTCACTCTTCCTTTTTTTCTGTAGCTTGACTCTACAACCGATCTCCTCCTCTCCACACTTGCTGCCTTTCATTATTCAGAATTGCACTTTAGGAAGAGAAAGATCCCAAATTGGGAATAATATTCATCTTTAATGGGGAATTACAGCCCCATAACCATCTACGGGGGGTCCATTGCTTGTTTGATGAATTCCAATAAATCAACAACAGCTTCATCAGATACTGACATTTCTGGCTTTCCAGAACATTTTTAAAACCCACCGCTGATAGCCACTAAAACCACAAGACACCTTCTGCTTGTACTGTCAGTGCCCCGCAATTAAACACAATGCTGTGAGTGACTGAAAAGCCATTTCAGCCTTGCCTAGAGCCACAAAAGCAAGTATAACAGCAGTTACATTTTTCCAGTATTCTCCTCTTCATTCCCTTTCTTATTAATGACCTCACTTTTCTTCATGGGGAACTAGATGTTTTAGTTGATGACAATTATAAGCCACCGTGAAACACAGTAAAACAAAATGATAGAAAGTATACACAGAGTACAGAAGATGAGTTCCATAAATGTAGTTGTGTCTGCGGGAGATGAAACCTTGATGATGATGATGAGTCATGCTGAATTTAATTGTGTTCTCATGTTAATGAATCTGATGCGATTAGAAAAATGCTGTGTCTTCACGACAAATTTAGTTTTTCGATTTGGTGCTGTTAAAAATGTGTTGGAATAAAACAGGAACAGTACAAACATCAGTACAGTATGCAGCTATTTTACTAGTACACAACTGATTGATTGGTGAGGTGGCATAAGATTTATTATCAACACTCGATAATCAAATTAATTGTTTTTTTTATCAAGCAGAAATACAGAACATTTTCTGTTTCTACCTTATTAGATATGATGAGTTACAGTTTTATATTATTGCCAGCAGGATCACTTTTATTTCTGTACTATTTTTCAAATGTTCTTTCATATTTTATCGAATAAACTATTAATTGATCAACAAATTGCTTGATGATGTTTGTAATTTGTGGCACTGATGGGAACACTTGCATCTGTCGCTATGCCAGGCCTAGCTGTGGTAACTATTATCTTCAGCCCTGTGGACACAGCCAATCGAGAGGGGATTCAGAGGGGTAGGCCTAGGACACGACACAGAGATTACATCCTAGC